TACTCTTGTATCTCTTCCCTTAATGTTGTAGTTAAACGCAAGTTAAGAGACAGCGGTTCTTCGTTTTGTTATATTGTATAGTTCTAACTAGGATATTAATCTTGTATCTCTTCCCTTAATGTTGTGGTTAAACGCAAGTTAAGAGACAGCGATTCCTCGTTTTATTATATTGTATAGTTCTATCTAGGATATTACTCTTGTATCTCTTCCCTTAATGTTGTAGTTAAACGCAAGTTAAGAGACAGCGGTTTCTCGTTTTATTATATTGTATAGTTCTATCTAGGATATTACTCTTGTATCTCTTCCCTTAATGTTGTAGTTAAACGCAAGTTAAGAGACAGCGGTTCTTCGTTTTATTATATTGTATAGTTCTTTTTAGGATATTACTCTTGTATCTCTTCCCTTAATGTTGTAGTTAAACTTCTCCTTGGTAACTTATGTCTCAAAGCTACATTGCCACAGACAAAATGTTCGATTAATGGGTAAATAAATTTCTGCAAATAAGCCTGATTCGTCTAGGCCCAGAAACTAGTCAGCAACAACCCTTTCCTGGCGTGAAGTTACCTGATATCATTTTGTTTGCGTGTGTTTATTGCTAACTTCTCGGAAATGAGAAACTAAGTTTGGGATCTGTGTCGTGCTATCATGTTTCTAAATAAATAAAAAATCATTTATTTTAAATCGATTTCAGACATACTTATGAACCGCGTTTCATATTCATGCAAAATGAAGGTGGGGTTAGTTTTAAGGGGACTTCTTTGTATTTTGATAAATCTTAGGTTTTTTTACTATAAGTTTTGTTCTTTTAAACACCCCAATTTTTAATAAAGACTAAACCATTGTAAAGCAACTAAATGCTACTTTTGAATAATAAATTGTTTTCATAAAGTATTTACTCACGTGTTAAGCATACAAAGTTCATGTGATATTGCATTATACCATCTATTCTTCTAGGCTTAAAAAAATGGGAAATTCGAAATACTGTACTCTGTTTTTCTAATTACTTGATGAATATCCAACGTGTCCAGAGGTTTAATTTTACCCATTTAAGAATTTCAATAATGCCAAACCATAGCATTAAATTAGTACCCGATCCTATGTATTGATTATGCAAATAGTTTAGCTTTTCTAACTGAACAAAAATCTAACCTCAGCACTAGAGCGAATGTGCTATGACCAAAGCTATATTAAGTTATGATTTGTAAAGGTCATGGATGTCAAAGTAATCTTTGTCACAGTACTTAAGTTTAAAGCGATTTCATAGTCATCTTAATTACACAATTCAAAGGGGAGGCAATTACATTATCACTTGTATTATGCTACATAAAGGACAAGCTGATTTCTCGAAGACCTCAAATATATATTGCAAAGGACAAGCCAATCATTTAAATCATTCTTAGAAACTAAATATTTCAGTCGGAACAGCATCTTATGTAGATGTGGGCTAAACGGTCGAATAAGAAACTCTGATGTTTCAGGTATAGCTGTCCCTAATTTTGAGCTAATGACCAGTGGAAATTCAGCCATCAAGCAGCATCCGCCGTTATAAGGGCTATGTCCAATTCTTTGAAACGACTTTTATAATCCGCCTACAGCTGAAAGTGCGAAACGGGATCAGTGGCATCTGGTCTCTAGCTCTGTAACCTTCGATCCATTCACCGACATGCTAATTACTAGGCAAATCTGGACATTTCAAGCATGTTACTCAAGGAACAAGACGATTTCATGGTGGCCTCAATCTTACTCAGTGAAACACAAGGAACACTCATCTTCTTCACAATTTACATTCAGCCACGCAGAACATTACTTCATAGCAAATATGCTGTTGTATCTCATACTTCGTTCACAATATGATGTATATATATACCATATATTGCTTGTTTATTGTGAAGCGCAAAGCTATACAATAGGCTATCTGTACTGTGCGCACCACGTGTATCGAAACCCGGTTTTTAGCATTATAAACTTTCAAATTTACCACTGAGCTACTGGGGGAGGGCACAATTGCTAATAATGTAAAATAATTTGCATGTATGTTGCAGATCTTCACACATAAGTAAATATACATATCTAAAACGTTCATCAGTATGTAATTCAAGCAAAGGCATCGAAACTTCGTCACTCGTCAATCCACCAAGCAAGCTGCCCATTTCAAACCATTGTTCTAAGTTTGCTTCTATATCATTGACGTGTTAATTACAAATTTCTTGCGCGAAACACTGACTGGAATTTATTTTCCTTAAAATGAAAGCAAAACTAAAAACAGGCAACTTCGTTATAAAAACAACACAATATCGTGTGTAACAGTTAGAGATGGAAAAACACAGTAAAAGAATTATCAGAAGTCTTGATATTGGAGAAACTAGTTTCAACACAATCGTGTGTCCTCTTCATTCTCGCGTTGTTTTTCGTCGTTTCTTTAAAATATATTTATTAAATGTACAATCTAGTATTAGGAGATCGTAACTAAGTGTTGTCAAACAAACAAAACGAAGTAAGTTGTAGATATACGTAAAGTTTTAATTACTTATTTTACAAATACTTGTTTAAGTTAATTCTTTCAAAAGCACATTTATTTGTTATTTTATAATTATTTGGAAAATTGCATAAACAGACAATTTTCATTTGGGCCAAGTAACACTAGTTAAAGAACTTCCATAAAATGAACAATAGGAAAAAAAACAGAATCTGATTGACTAACTCTATAAACAAGCTATGTCAGGATACGTATTTCAACGGAATTATCACCTGTTAGTCATATTTTCCTTTTTATTATATCATTTACATGATAAAATACGAATATAAGTTCTTCTAAAATTAGCGTTACAGAGAGCATAACACATTGGATTAATTGTACTATTTATGTAACATAAATAATAAGCAAAGTTCCACAAACCTTCTGGAATACAATCATTGTCAGCATATGGAGACAGAGTTTTCACTAAAACTAGCACATTGTACGGTGTCCATGTTACAATGAATGCCAGTAAGATAGAACTTAAAGTCTTAGCTGCTTTCTTTTCTTGTTTTCTCTCTTGTTGCTTTCGTTTTTTCATAGGCACTCGATGCTTTGCTATTTGTTTGTGAATAATTTTCGTGTTTAGCGAGAAACGAATTGTTTCAAGTGCTGATTCTGAGACACACAAAGCGTTTGGTCTCAATCCCAGACTGGCTGGACGCTGAGCGGTTAGAATTTCCAGGCTTTCAGAGGCACGAACTGGTTGCGCGCTAATTTTGGCCTTTTCACCTTCTTCTAGAATCATCTTGATGGACGCCTTAGACTCACCCTCGCCTTCTACAGATGACTGGGTAGGGAGTCGAATGAGGATGATATAGATTGCTTCTGATGAAAAGGAACGATGTGATGACGGGAGATCGGATAAAGCAGTCGTACTTTCAGATCTGCGAGGTCTATTTTGATCAATAAGAGTAAATCCTCTATCTCCACAACGTAAAACTTGTTGGCAAGGCTGAAATGTTAATGATGTAGTACGTGATGATCGAACTGGGGTTTCTGTAGAAGAAAGTGTAACAGTTCCCGGTGATTCGTGACTAGTGCTGTTCTCATCTTGACCATCTGGATCTCGATCGATCTTACACCAGGTCATCAAGAGTTCTTTAATATTCTGTGGGCGAGATTTTTCTTGAGGGTAGATAGGTGGCTCGACACAAATAGAAGTTGAAACATAATTAGCTTTAATAGCTATGCATGAGTCACTTCGTGCTCGTTGACATCCATCTTCTTCTCCAGGGTAGTCGCTAGATGACGATTTTCTTCTGACATCCTTTTGTCCAGCTTGAAGATGAGTTAAATCCTTTTTACGCTGCTCTGTTTCCTTCCAGATTCGCCAGTAAAGTACACACATCACAGTTACAGGTAGATAGAAAGCAGCAATGGCTGTACCGAAGGTGATGTAAAGGTTGGTCTCGAGAAACTGAATGAAACACTCATCTTCTGGCACTTTTCTCTGACCTTCTATATAGGGCCATGAATAAATCCAAGGTGGCCACAAGACAAGAGATATAACCCAAGCACAAGCGATCATGAAAGCTGCACGTTTTGTTGTTCTTCTTGCTCGGTAAGTCAAAGGTCGTGTAACAGAAAAGTACCTGTCAAAACTAATTATTAGCAGATTTAGAACAGAAGCATTGCTGTTCAGATAGTCAAAAGCTAACCAAGTATCACAAATCATTGATCCTAGTGGCCAGAAGCCTAACAGAGTGTACATGGTGAACAAGGGCATGGAAACGAGTCCAATCCAGAGATCTGCAATTGCTAGGCTAAGCAAAAAGTAATTACTGATGGTCTGAAGTTGTTTATCCATTTTAAAAGATATCATAACCATTATATTCCCCACCACAGTGCCTAGGCTTAAAATTCCAGTTACAATAGCAATTAAAATAACTTCTGACACTGAATAGGAAGCTTTGTCTATAGAGCCGGAAACTCCAAAACTAAATTCAGTAATGTTGGAAAACCAAGATACATTACTGTCAGAGTACATGCCAGGAGTCTCGGAATGTTAGAGGATTGAAAGATCAAGTTTGTTTTATGAATATCTAACCAACTGTTACGCTGATCCCTGGTTAAATGAAGAACACTGAAAACATGGTCTTTTCTCAAAGTTCAACAGTTTGTTCAGAGCTGAATGGCCTTTCGTCGACATCATCAAAATCTCTTCTGAAACAAAAATATGTTATATCTCATTTCTATAGACATTTTAGAACACTGGAATATTTCATAATATTCTCCGCCCAATAAGAAGAAAGTGATTTTAAAGATATTTACCATTTTTGATGTATTTATATCTACAGTATTTGTACATTGGGAAAACAATAAAATAAGGAAAGAGAAAGTGTAGTTATTTTATGAAAGTAGTCTACATATATCAGGAAGATAAATAATATTGGGGAAAATAATGAAAATATACTGTATTTCATGAGACACCTAAACAATGTATACCAAGAATATAATCACACATTGTTGGGAAAATAATTAGATTATGTTGAATAATTATTGTTTTTTTAGAGCAAATTTACACAACAAGTTATCTGTGGTCTGTCCAATTAAGGGAACGTACCCCCAAGTTTTAGCGTTGTAAGTCCGTAAACTTACCGCTGAATCACTGGGGGATATTAGGCAATGGAATATGAATTATAGTTCATGATACACATAGTTTACGTATACCAGAAAGATAATCAAATATTGTATGGAAAATAATTAAAGATAAAATAAGGTTCATTTAGGTCTCTAATTCACGTCTGTCGAGATAAGAATATTAAATATTGAATAATAACGAGTTAAGTGGACAATACAGTTTAATGAACAACAATAAAAACTATTAATCAGATAAATTACTTTACTCCAATACAAATATATTAGAATTTGTATAGCAGAAACTGAAATCATAATAAAATGACTTGCGTACTCATGTGATTTGTGTAAAATATATGAGATTATTTATGAATTATTAATAGTTATGGAAGCATATTAAGGTATGCTGTACATAATAAACACATGGTATGATATGAGACTATTATATTTAATTAAAGAAGAGTTGAAGTGTGTTAAACTATGTTGTAGATGAGGTAACAATTGACCTGGAGTTATATATATATTCACAACCTCTGTTTGTGTGTTAAAGTATATAGCTAGTGTGTTGGTGTTTACTTACTTATATAAAGGTTCATACTACCCTAAAAACGTTTGTCTGCTGTTTGAGTTATTAATAAACCTTAAACTAACTACTGTATTACATATTTTTCTTCTTCGTGGAATAACACGTTTAATTTGTTATAAAAAAACGACTTCATCTTTTTACGTCCTATTTTTATAGAATGCTTAGAGAACAAATGATATTAATTAATGCAACGTGTTATGAAATATGGAAACACTTGATTTTTAGTTAAACCAATAAAGGCTTTAGGGATTTATAATATTTCTACAGCACTTTGCTTATCTACTGTTGTTGATAGCCCACTAGTGGGTCAGCGGTAAGTGTGCGAACTAACAATGATAAAATCAGAGGTTCGATTCCTTGAGGTGGACAGAGTGTAGGTAACCCACTGAACTAAGAAATGAACAACCACAATCTGTTGCTGTTAAGTGGTTTCTGTTATTGCGCTAAGAAAAGAACAACTACACCCAGTTGCAGATAATTGCGTTCTATCATTACGCTAAGAAAAAACAACTACATCCTGTTGCAGATAAGGGCGTTCTATCATTACCCTAAGAAAAAAACAACAACTACATCCTGTGCAGATAAGGGCGTTCTATCATTACGCTAAGAAAAAACAACAACTACATCATGTTGCAGATAAGGGCGTTCTATCATTACGCTAAGAAAAAAAAACAACTACATCCTGTTGCAGATAAGGGCGTTCTATCATTACGCTAAGAAAAGAACAACTACATCCTGTTGCAGATAAGGGCGTTCTATCATTACGCTAAGAAAAGAACAACTACATCCTGTTGCAGATAAGGGCGTTCTATCATTACGCTAAGAAAAGAACAACTACATCCTGTTGCAGATAATTGCGTTCTATCATTACGTTAAGAAAAGAACAACTACACCCTGTTGCAAATAAGGGCGTTCTATCATTGCACTAAGAAAAGAACAACTACACCCTGTTGCAGATAAGGGACTCTGTTGAAAATCACAGAACACTGATTTGTATAATTTTTAAGTGAAAAGATAAGTTATGTTACCCTAACAGTTTCAAATTCTATGTGTGGAAATATCTGCTTTGAAATAGTCGATAAACTAATTTTTCTGAGTCTATACTAACTGAAATCTTACATGTTATTTTGCATTGAATCATTTATTAATTTATTTAGTGACGTGTTTTTTAATACGATGTATGATATTAATTCAGACTGTTTTCACACATTTGATAGTCAATTTAGTTAAGCTATTCAAGTGCATGATATGTTTTGTATAGTTTCTAAAATAAAGAAACTTTCATAAGTTTGGAGAATGCCCGTATGTTTCATTTATGGTAATATATTCTATTTGAATATAACAATTATATAACACGCTATAACAATTATATACCGCATGTATTATTATATTGGACTGTAAGTCCGTATTTTATAAACTAAAGTGTTTTGGTAAATAGCATATTAATATATGTTTTAATGTGTGTGGTACTTAAGTATTATATTTTACTTACATATACTAAAGATAGTCTATTAGTCTATGATGAGAAGTGAATTTCATATAAAAAAATCACAGAACATTGATTTGTAGCTGATGATTTTTATATATTTGATTACACAGGCTTGCTGTGGTTTTATTGTTTTGAAATTTGTACATTTTCTACAGTAATTCCTATATGCTGAATCCGAAAATGATATCCATTTTTCACAAAACGGCATAACGCAATCCATAAAAGAAAGGCCTACAACACGTAGTTTTGAGACTAAAAGACTCAAATTTAAAAAAAAAAATCAGGATGAATGAGGATGCATATTCGTTTGACATCAATTTTCTTCAGTTTGTTTGTACTTTTCTAAACAAACATAATAATAAAAAATGTTCATTGTGGTAAACGAAATGTAAATTTGATCTAAGTAAGTTTTCTTTCTTTCTGATTTGAAAACATTCTCAAGTGATAGAAAAAATGAATATTATTTGCGAAATCTGCGTAGCTGAATTATAGAAAACCCGTTATTAAAACCAAAACACTTTTTATGAAGTTTAAATTCGCAGGCCTGTGTTATCTACCTATAAAGTGTAAATGAAAGATAATTCATGTTACGATAACAATTTTAAAATCCACGTGAGAAAATATCTGTCGAAGAATAATCTCTGGATTTATAACTAAAAGTTCTTTTACGATTACGATTTTCAACTCTTTTTCGGTATTGTTTATTTGTGAAACAAGTAATTGATGCTTTGGTAAACTAAAAAGTTTAAATAGTATAATGAACATAAAGTTAAGATTTTGCACTGATTTTTAGGTGAAAAAGATAATACATGTTACCGTAACATTGTTTCAAAAATCTGTGACAGTTTTGAAAAATTATGTTTTCTGAGTCCGAAACCCTAAGGAAAAATATAACAAATAAAAATTAGACTGTTTGTTGACTGTGTGTTTGTACTTGTGAACGAGTTTGTCAACACTATGTGGAAATGATAACTCTGTTACCACACATGTACATAATTGGTTGTATTGTACTATAAAACCTCATACATTTTACATGTTTATATAGTCTAAGTAATTATCATAAATTTGAACTGAATCAATCTTTCATTTTGAAAATTATTTTCAGCCGATGACACAGTCTGAACTTCTGATGGTATGTTGTGCACAGAATCTAGTATAATGTATGAAATAATTGTATGCTAACTGAAATGTCCAACCAAATATTGAGAATGTACATTTAGTGTTTTGTATCACTATGTAAAGTGAAAGAACTATGTTTACTGACTTTTTAAATCATTGACATACAGAAACTCCAGTTAAAGTATGGTGAACATTAAATGTATGTATAATATATATATATGATTATGTAGAGTTTGGACATTTATTTTCAATATTAAGTATAATGTAAATACACAGATAGCAATAATGTATTATAACTGACTTTTCTTTTATGCGAAACAGACTTGGCCAACTTGGAAGTGACCTTTTCTCATTAGTCACATGTTGGTCAACAACCTTTCTATACCTTCTTTTTCTCTATCTACTTTTCCCACATGACGTGCATTGTATTTCTTAACAGACAAAGATTAGCTAGTCAGTGGTGTGTGTGTGTGTGTGATACTTCATAATAGTGTTTAGAAAGTTTCAATGTTTTATGAAATTTTAATACAAAATGGATGGATAAATAGTAAGTCATTCATTTATTAAATTTATTTGTAGCAAAATTAATTAGCCTCATTCAACTATTGGATGATATGTATGTTAGTTTGTTTATAGTTAAGTGCAAAGCTACACAATGGGATATGGGTTTTTAGCATCGTAAGTCCGCAGACATGCCGTTGTGTCACTGGGGGCATCTAGGAAAATACAAAAAATCTAAGACTATAGTAATAGAAATAATAACCTAGTTAGTTTATTTTATCCAAATATAAGATATTTGCTTATTATGAAAAATATACATCATTAAATTATCAATACATGATAAGTTGTTAGATAAAATAAATATCAAATAGAAAATAATCACAAAAATATATCTTCAACTAAATATAAATTCATGTATTGTTGTTTGTTTGTAGTTAAGCACAAAGCTATACATTGGGATATCTGTGCTCTGCCCACCACGGGTATCGAAAACCAATTTCTAGCGGTATGAGTGCCACCAAGGGACATCCATGTATCAACCTTATACTTTTGAATTCTAGAGATACGTCACATCTAGAATTTTTCAAAGGAGGAAATAGATATCTATATAAGTTAGAAAATAATTTTGACGATATAATGTATATCATAGACATGTGATCATTGCAAAGAATGCTTTACAGTTTCAAGTGCCACAAACCCTGAGAAAACTTCTATATGTACGGAGCAGGTATAATGCCATGGTATTTGTGTAATAATAACGTTTTTCTTATTCAACCGAAAACCTGTATTCTACAAAAAATTGTCATTATGTTTTAGATTAATAAAACAAAATAATTTGAAACTTTGTTACTGAAACCAAACTCCGAGGTGTAGCAAACAAGAATAAAAACT